AATATTGGACTGCGGTCCCTTTAAGAGTTTATCCACGGACCCAATATACTGTTACACAACATGCGTTCTCTTTCTCAACTATTTAACGTTCCAAAACTGACTGTGTTTTACTGGATACTCGCCAAAACGGGCATTTTGACATTTTTTATGTATTAGCGCAGTTAGTCACTCATTTTGGTATTTGTGGCTCACAAGCTATTGAGACTGAGCGCGGCTTGTCCGATCCACTAATATAGATCAGTGGTGGTGCGCACGCGTTTGGTATAAGTGTGAAACCTGCAGAATGACTAAAATAATGCGCAATACAAGCACTATTTAACCGGAGCGAATGTGACGTGTGTGAGAGAGAAGGAGTCGTCGGAGAGATGAGAGTGAGAATGTGCGGCTGATGTTATTGCCTGTGCCGCTGGTAACAAAACGGATCGGCTCGAAATCGGAAAGAAGTGAGACTGACCGACCGATCACGATCCGGGCTGATCATGAGGAAAATCGGCCGATTCCGATCCCTGGCCGATCGATCGGTGCATCTCTACTTGAAATGTGCACAAATTTAAATGCTTTTACATTATAAAGTAGCATTTTTGTCTGTTATTACCGTGCTTGGAATAGAGTCTGGGTCCAGCTTCTTCTGAGGAGGGCCTGCCATTTGTGCTGGACCTCCAGGAAAGCCTCCTGGGAAAGCGCCGGACTGTGGCCCTGCCATTTGTGGTCCTGCCATTTGTGCACCATACGGGCCTGAAATCGGGCTACCTTCAGATCAGAAGCAAAAAGAGTTAAGTTAGTCAACATTTGCCTCTAAAAATACTGAGTAGAGGTGAGGTGTGTCATTTCTGCACCACAAACGCAAATGAAAAAATTAAGACAGATTGTTAAGACAACCCACATTTTCATTTAGTCAGATAGTCCCGAACCAAACTCACACAACTGGTTGAACTAATGTTGCTGTCTCATAAAACAGTGGCTACCCAGTCAATTTTTTAAGACTCATGAAGGTGGATTGTTTTTTACAAGGACTTTGGTTTAACACATACACTACCAGACAAAAGTTTGGAATAATTCAGATTTTTTATTGTTTTGAAAGTAGTATCTTATGCTCACCAAGGCTGCATTTATGTCATTTAGAAATACAGTAAAAACAGTAATATTGTGATATATTATTACAGTTTAAAAGAACTGTTTTCTATTTGAATACATTTTAAAATGTAATTTATTCCTGTGATTAAAGCTGAATTTTCAGCATCATTTCTCCAGTCTTCAGTGTCACATGATCCTTCCGAAATCATAATAATATGCTGATTTGCTGCTCAGAAAACATTTCTTATTATCAATGTTGAAAATAGTTTTCGCAGCTTAATACTTTTGTGTAAACCGCGATTCACTACCATTCAAAAGTTTGAGGTAAGATTCAGCAAAGACACATTAAATTGATCAAAAGGCATTTATAATGTTACAGAAGACTTCAATTTCAAATAAATGCTGTTCTTTTGAACTTTTTGAATGTTGAAAAAAATATATAGCACATTTTCCACAAAAATGTCATGCAGCACAACTGTGTGCGACATTGATATTAATCAGAAATGTTTCTTGAGCAGCAAATCAGCATATTAGAATGATTTCTGAAGGATCATGTGACACTGAAGACTGGAGTATTGACGCTGAAAATTCAGCTTTGCATCACAGCAATAAATTACATTTTACAATACATTCAAATAGAAAACAGTTCTTTTAAGCTGTAATAATATTTCACAATATTACTGTTTTTAATGTATTTTTGTTCAAATGAATGCAGCCCTGGTGAGCAGAAGAGACTTCCAAAGAAACCTTTTCAAATTTTCACCTTTTCTTAATTATTCTAAAGTGTAAAAGGTTGTCAAACGTAAAAGTATTTTAACAAATGTGACACAATTCACCCTTAAAGGAGACATATTATGCCCCTTTTTACAATATGTAAAAGTCTCTGGTGTCCCCAGAATGTGTCTGTGAAGTTTCAGCTCAAAATACTCCACAGATCATTTATTATATAATTTAGAAAATGCCTATTTTGAGTGGAAGCAGAAACACGCTGTTTTTCGGGCCTGTCTCTTTAAATGCAAATGAGCTGCTGCTCCCCGCACCCTTTTCCAGAATAGAGCTGCGCCATTACAGCTCGTACCTGCTAAAAACATCTGTTTTGGTTCTGATTATCATGTTTATCACGCGGAAATCATGCGTTTTAAACCATGTGGGTTTAAACTTCTGATATACGGTTTTCTGAGCGCACACATCTGAAGCACACGGACAGAAAGCGGCTGTCACAGCATGCGAGTACTAAACTAAGTTCTCATTCACACACAAGTTTACGTTAAAAACACATGAGTTACAAAACACAGTCAGTGACTAAAATGCTCAGACTTTTAGTTGACTAAAACTTGACTAGACTAAAAAGAGTATGAAGGTGACTAAAACTAATAAAAACTAAAATGACAGTTTCACACAAAGACTAGACTAAAACTAAAATTAAAACAGGCCGCCAAAAACAACACTAGTTGGTAGATGCACCGGGGACCTGATTATAGCACTTAAAACCTGGAAAAGTCAGATTTTCGTGATACGTCACCTAGTTCTTACCTGGTTGCTGTGGATAGCCTTGGGGTCCCAGTGGTGGTTGGTGGACACCTGGTCCAGGTGGGCCAGACATTCCCATTGGCGGAGCTGCCATAGAACCCATCGTGGCCATTGGTGGAGGAGATCCAAGAGAGGACGGCTGCTGTCCTGGTAGAGAAAGGGGCGGATGTCCCATTGCTAGTGGCGGTGATGTTTGATATTGTTGTGGTGCTGCTGAGCTGGAAGGAGACTGTGGTACCTGCATGGGCCTTTGGCCTAAAGATCACAGTGCATGGGTATAAAATAGGCCATCTGAAAGTCAATTCACTTCAAATCAATATAAAATGCCATCTAACTTACCATATCCTCCAAAGTTCATGGCACTCATCTGATTTGTCAGCTGTTGAGTTGGAGGTGGGGCTTGTGCCATACTATGAAAAGCACTTTGAGGAGGCTGTCGATAAGGAGACATGGAAGGAGCTGAAGCAACAGGTGGAGGGAAACTGACGGGAGCAAAAAAATTATTATTATTATTTAAAGTTGCGATTTCAACAATGCTTCATCACATTGAACTAGTATTCACCTGTGGGGATGGGCCCCATTCTGCTGAATATTAGCACCATACTGGCTGGATACTGGTGGTGGAGGCATCCCAGAAGGAGAGGAGGCAGGAGGCTTGAGCACACCTGGAAAACAGCATTCATTTTACATGTACAGAATCATGCGAGAAGATAATACTGTGACAAAATTCATTTCAGCATATAAACTACAGAGTATACAGGAACAGCTGACACTATAATGAAAAGCAGTTTCAGAATGGATTGACACTGTTTATTTATTTAAGCTGAAGCGCTGCTGAGATTCCTATATCATAAGGACAAAATGAAACTTGCCAGTTTTAGAACTGAACTCAACAAAAGAAGATTCACTTTACCTGTCGGAGGGGCAGAATAACCCTGTGGCGGAGATCCATAGGTGCCATAATGCGACTGAGGTGGGGGGTTCCCAAAACCAGCAGAGTATCCCCCCATTCCAGCCTGGGCCTGGGAGTATGGAGGGGCGGCAACATAACCTTGCTGACTCATCCTACTGTTATACGTCTCTCATTCCAGTCTGGGACAAAAAAAGGTGACCTGGAACAGAAGAACAAAACAAAACAAAAAAAATACACATTAACTTTTAATGTTGTAGTCATGAAACTTCTAATCTATGTGTTGCATTCAGCCCTATACTAACCATTGTGGAAAAATAAGTATACTTTAGCATACTTTGAAAAAAAGAGTACTAATTATGGAAAGAATATACTTAAGTGTGTACTGAAAGTAATGTTTTCGGGCACTTAATTGCAATGAAATGAAATGTATTATAATTTAAATTTATATTAAATGCAATTAGCTGAACTTTAGAGTGCCTTTTATCCACTGAAGTACATTTGTATATGTAATTTCATAATTACTGCTCCTGTCTTTGAAATATGGTTAAAGTGTATTGCTGAATTTATTGACAAGCATTTATGATAAAGTAAAATATACTTTAATGTCATTTCTATTGAAACTTCTGTGCCATGTGTTGCTATATATACTTGTATTTCCAACTTTGTAATTACAATTTAAGTTGCAATTTAGTACATTTACCCCCGGTTTCACAGACAAGGCTTAAGCTAGTCCCAGACTAAAATGCATGTTTGAGCTGTCTCAACTGAAAATACCTTGCTCTGACATATCTTAAAATATCTCAGTGTCATTGTTCTGTCAAGATGCACACCTGTAATGTTTTCTTCTAAGGCATTTTTGTAAAAGTTGCTTAAATATCTTAATTTAACTAAGGTTTAGTCCTGGCTTAAACTAAGCCCCGTTTGTGAAACCGAGCTTAAGTATGTTAGTCAACACATCAAAATAAGTGTACTTTTTTAAAGAATGACATCTTACATTTTAATTTGACATTATTACAATGTGCACTTTTTAAAAGTGTACTTTAAAGTGTTAAGAAACAGTCATAAAAGTGTCTCTTTTTAAGTACACTCAAGCAGCATTTTACTTAATTTATATTATATTATCTTAACTTATTAAAAAAAAAACTTGAGGTATTCCACAAGTGCACATTCAATACAATTAACTAAGCACCCAGAAGCAGTTTGTTGTAAAATTATGCGATAATGAAATGTTTTCTACAGTTTAGAGTTTACCCGATATGATTACCTCAACCCTAAGCACGTGTGATCAGGAACTTTGTCGCTAGACCTAGATAAGAGGAGTTCATGATAACACAATCGGCCATATATTAATATAATGGTTTGACTATTGTATTCAACCCTCAGATTAATTAACATTAAAACTGACTGTATATTGTATAACTGTATAATTTAAAGTTCTTAACTGTAAATATCATTAATGTTAACTTAACCAACCTATCTGAGCTATTAAACTCTTGTTTGTTACTCTAAAATGCACCGGTTTTAATACTGGTAATAAAATAGAAGGCCATGGTGATGATTAAAAGTTAATCAAAAATGGCCTAAAACAGCCAAACAGGGTCGTAAAAAATACTTCATAACATAAAATGCAACATATAACGAGTCTACTGTACATAACTGACATTAAAAACAAATAGACATTAATTTTAAAAAACGTGATGGTTCATGCAGGGAATTTCCCATAAACTAAAAGGTGATACTTTGTGTTTATTTCAAATAAATCAGTAAAATGACAAGTATGGTTTTCTAAAATATAATATTGCTTTACCATTGCATTTGATCAACAAACAGGTTTTATTGCAGCTCTTTTTAGCACTCAAATAACTCGCATTTTACAAGGTAATTATAGGCCTACAGTGTGCGTAGTTACAATAACCTTTTTTTTTGTTGTTGTTGTTGTCTGGGACTTCACGTCAGTATTTCTGCAAGAGGCCTTCGGTAACTCTCAGGGAAATATAATATTTCATGTATATATCATTCAGCACACACGATATTCAGATCAGCGATGTCATAACCGAGATGTTACAGTATCAGTCTTCCGCTGCCCTGACCTGCCACGTCAAAGACCTGTAATGTTTCACTTGACTGAATAAAGTGCATATTTAAAGACTTCAGCACATGCCATGGATAGGCTATATAGAATCGATATAGCCCTACTGACAACAATGTGCGTGGACCAGCTGTCGGCGATACAAAGTTACGAAATATTTTCCGCTAGAGACGGAAACTGGTATAGCCTACTGTATAAGCCAAACTTACAAATATATTTGCATATAAAGAATGGCGCTTATAGACTGCGGTCAAAATAAGGTTGCCTTTCAAATCCCATTTTAGTTTGTTATATTATTAGTACATAACAAAGAGACTTACCTGAAGGCAAACGATGCGTCCTTTCCTCTGCTGATGTTGAATTGCGTGCCGAGAGTGCCACGTCAAACTCCAGCCCAGCGCCGGTGTTGCGTACATTGAGCCGCCGCCTCTGCGCATGCGCACACTGATGGGAACCACTACACGTCAGCAAGGATGCCGATGTGCGTAGCCCGCAAACGCCATGCTGTCATCGGTCTCTGATATGAAACGAGCTCGTTCTGATCTGTGGGTGCTTATTGAATAGCCTGCATAATGAATGTAAACTGACAAAAACGCAATAATAATATTATTCAGTATTTGGTAAACTGAAACATACTTTACTGTAATTTCTATTGAAAGTTGTATGTCGTATATTTGTAATGAGGGAGTTGCAATTTAGTACATTTAATATATATTAACTTTAAATGTAATTTGGAATGCCACACTATGGTTAAAATTATAATCAAGTACTTTACATGTGCAACACATCAATTTCTGTGTAGTTATTTAAAGCATGACAAAGGATTATTAAAACAATGATTCTATGTACATTTTATGTAAAAACAATACATTAAAGTATACTTAAGTGGACTTTTATTTCATTATATTTTATACGTTTAAGACTTGAAATATACATTCAATACAATTAAGCACACTTATTTTTCACAAGGATATCTCATAGCTATAAAATATAGGAATATGTAAAGTCTGTAATCTTTTGGCTTTGGTGCTTTGAGTCTACATTTTCTGAAGTAGAGCAGTTCTTTTTCTCTGTTGGTCTTTGATAGACTAATCCTGACCCTTAGATCTAGTCTTCCTCAAGTCGTTTTAGTCCAAATTGATCTGTCAAGTTTATTATACTGCAGTATAATAAGTAAGCTCTTTTAGCGGATGTATGAACAGTGGCATTAAGCATGTAAAATATTCTGGTCTTGCTCCTCTGATTGATTTAATCTGATTTTGCTAATGAACATCTTGATTAACAGTGGCACTCCTTTGGCTCTAGTTCTGTGAGACTTCAATAACTGACTTCATTAAAAGTGCAATGGGACCATAGTCCATAGTCACAATGGAAACAAGCTGTTAACTGACTTTGATTTGAGAAGAATACCTTATAGTGTAAAATATGAAAAATAATGTAAGTAAATCTTATGTAAGTAAATAAATAAATCTCAAAACATTTGTATTTAAGATGTGTTATAAGCCTTTGGCTTTTCCGCAATAATTAAACAACAACACAAATATTAAACAAAACAATTCAGGAAACAACAAAAGTGGAAATGCTAGCATAAATAAAGCATTAGTTTGACCAATATTATTTTATTTTAATGTATTTGAGGAGGACACGGTTCTACAAATACTAACTAACTTACAAATTACTAACTAACTAAATAAATCTTAATTTTAGACAACTTAAAAAACAACTTAAAAACTTAATAGTCATTAGCCTGATAAAGGAAGAAATTTTTCATTTTGTCATTATGGCCTACATTCAACAGTACTTTGACCATATTTCAAAAACAATGGAAGTAATTATAAAATTACAAATAAAAATGTACTTAAGTCGTACTTAAGTGGATCAAAAAAGTACTACTCGAAAGTTCCCAAATATAAATTTAAACTAATCCATTTTAATTGCAATTGACTGCATTTATCATTACATTTAGTTACTTAAGTATAGCTTATATTATTTCCGCACTTTTTTTTTTTTGAAAGTAAAACACATCTGTTCCACCTTTATTTGACCCTCTAACTCTAACACTTTCTATTCTATTTTTAATTCTACTTTATCTATATTTATCTTTTTTTTTTAATTAAAAAAAAAACAAAAAAACACTAGCTTTCTATTCTATCTACTTGTTTTTCTTTGTGTGTGTGTGTGTGTGTGTGTAATATATATATATTACAGGAGAGGGCGAGTTAGTGCTCAGTCTCATGGAGGAA